ACACAAACTAGCGTCCTCCCGCCACCCTAAGCTCAGTATACGGCAAGCTACAGCTCGCGGTATACTGAGACGCCGCAGCCGGAGTGGATCCCGACATCGATGTCGAGATCCGCCCAGCTGCGTGAGTGACAGCTGGCTCTGCCTATCTAGAGGCAGAGCCAGCTGTACCCGCCCCCTCCCCCGTCCATTCCGCCAGTCAGCGCTGGCGGATCGGAGCGGGGAGGAGGGAATCTATCCCCTCCCCTGTAACGGCAGAGAGCCGTGACAGGATCGAGAAGTGAGCGAACACCGGCATGTGTTTGCTCACCTCCCGATCTACTGAGGCGACCTGTGACAGTCTCATTGTCACAGGTCGGCTAGAACTATGAGGTGAGTGAAAAGGACTCACCTCATAGTTCTCCTTTAATTCATGCTGACATTGTCCTTCCTTCCTTCTGGAGGGTGGCTACTTTTGTTCCCAATGATCCCTGTGTGTTGTAAAGTTCCAAGCTCCCTCCCATAATGGACTACAATCTCAAGTTTAGTTTAATAATTTGTATTGAGATTGTAGTCCATCACAGGAGCGTGCTTCGAACTGTGGCTACTTTATCACCTATTGCCAGTTAACAGACTGGAAAACTGGCAGTAAATAAGATCAACTCTGATCTAGCCATCAGATACGATCAGTACCAGTACCAGCGGTGCATGTATGTGCATTCATAACAGCTTCCTGCTCATGGTTCATTGGTTGCTAGGACAGCAGGCAGCCACTGTCCTAGCAACCCAATGACACATCCCTAGCCCCAGTGAAGCTGGCTGATTATTATGGATATGGCCAAGTTTGGGTATTGATGTTAAATAGCATTGCCCACCCCTTTGTTTACATTCATCTGTTAAACAGGGACTCTCCCTGCCAGTAGTTGAATGGGGTTGGCATTAGTCACTGGTTGCTAAGAGGTTGGTGGCTGCATAGCCGACAGTCTCTTAGCAACCAATTATACTGATGGGACGGAGCCTGAAGGGGAGTCTAGTTTTCCATCAGGTCCGTCTCCCTTGTGATTAACAGCAGCCTATGGGTGGATTGGATTCCATAGCTAATAACCAGCCTGCTATTGGCTATGGATCTGACCACTGCCTGCTGTCAATCAGTAGCAGAGTGAAATGGATAGGGGACTGGTCCCAGTGTCACTGCTTGTTAAGGATGCTGTTGGCTATGTGCAGTTGTTTTCCAAGGACTGTGTGTGCAGAGGTTGTGAATACATAAAACCTTTTACTCTGTTGGTGACTTGCTTGCTAAATTCCCTCAATGTACTAAAAACTGGGATCTGGGAAAAATGGACGCCTCCATTTTTTTTAAACCTTGCTGTTTCAATTTCAGGGGTTGGCAAGATATTTCTAGTACAGAATAGAAATAGGTTTTTTTTGTTTGTTTGTTTTTTAAATAAGAGGCTTGTTTGGGTGCAATACATTGCTTTTTAGGTCTAAAGGCTGATTTTTGCAGATTTATTGGTTACTGGGGTAGAGAAAACCCATTGTAAACCCATAATAGGGCAAACTTTTAATTGATGGCTCAAGTCTGAACATTAATTTGTGCATGCTTACTTGTATGGGTAATAGGGTGTAGCAACAGATCTCAGCAAGGGGCTTCACAGTGGACACAAAGCTGCAGTCTGGCTCAGTGTGAAACTCACAATTTCATAAGTCTCATGACAAAGGAAACATAAATCACTGGACTGCCTGTACATTATGGTGCACACGACAGACGGGAACCATTGTAAACACTTCACTGATGTGGTCATTTCATTATTTCTTCATCATCATTCTTCAAATCTGAAGTGCACATTTGTAATAAATAAGTAGTTATTTTCATATTACAAAAATTGGACTCCCACTGCGATTTAAAATTTGAGCTCACAGACTCCTTAGTGTCCCAAACCTTAGACATGTGTCACATAGTGAATCATAAATAAGAGAGTTCTTTTATTACAACATCAAAGCTATGTCAGATGATTGATTCACACCACATCACATGCATTACATGCACATAGCGCACATACTCTAGTGTGCAATTCAATCTTTTATTATTTTATTTTTGTTTTAACTTCCCCAATATTGTTATGCACCCCAGTATGCTGTGATGAGCTACAACGAATTGGAATGCACTGCACAAAAATGCAACTTTTGTTCAATTATATTATGTATATAATATAATGCACCTGCGTGCATGCCGCTATCTTTGAGTATATCTTCGAACATACGGCTGCCACCATCTTGGTGTATACCAAGATACACTCAAAGATGGCGGCGTGCAAGTTCGTTCTGGAGCTTGTTCTGGATTTTTAGTGTGCGGTTTTGGCTCGTTGCCTCCGAAACAGCAGAAAAATGTGTTTTCTTTGAAGAAAACAAATGGAAACATTTTTCATTTTCATTTGTTTCGTCAGAAAACAATTTTTTTTGTCCTGCACATATCTAGATTCTAGTTTACAACGCTTTAAAACATTTGTTAAAAGTTGATGCATTCTTGTGGGTAGGATATTTTTTTTTCACTAATCTAATAAGATTTTAAGCTATGCAGTCTTGTATTCTTACCTAGGGGTTTAACAATACTTTGAAAAAGTGTTAATGTGGTCTTAACAGATCGTAGAACTTTGACTGGTGTTTGCATCCTTTTCCTGTCAACTGTGCCCATTGCACTTAGCCTATTTTGCTGTGGAGGAGCAATAAATGCTATGTTTAGTTGTGCACCTATTGACAAATTACTTTTTTCAGCAAGGACATTGTGAATCTGCCAGTTTACATTTGACATATTGCTAAGTGGTTTTACTACCCATAATCACCTCAAAATATTAGATTTTGTTATGTGTACAACTTTAGTCTGGTCCCCTGAGCACTGGCCCTCATATCCTGTTTTAGGATGGCTTATGGAGCCACCATTGTGTGTGCTAGTAAGCTGTGTGTGTGTCTCCACAAACATGCAGGCACAGCAAGGCAAGCCACTCCAACGCTCCCCACTCCTTCTTCCTCCCTCCTCCAAGCTAGTAGATAGACAGCTGCTGTACTCTGTGCTTTCCCTTGTGATCTTGTACTGGACATGAAGTTTGGGAAGCTGAAATTAGATAGTTAGAGCTGTTTGGAAACTTGATGACTATAAGTGCTTCAGCAAAAATCTAAAGAAATACTTTCCATGTCAATGTATATTTGTTTGATTTGGATTCACTAACTACTTTAAAGTACATATGTGTTGAGTTGAGCTTGGTGGTCAACTATTACAACTTGTGTTTGGCTAGATATCACAGACATAGCTTGTCTGGATCATTTATCAAAGTAGTTTAGGGATTAATCATTGAAAGAAAAATTGGAGTGCTAACACAAGTAATGACTATACAGTATATGTTCTGCCTCCCCAGTCTAAGGATTGAAAGTGTGATCCCTGTAACTTACAGTTGTGGTGAGATGGCTATAGCTCCCAGTCTCAGTAGTGTTGGCAGGCAGTGACTTAATCCATATAACACCTTGAAGATCGTTTAGAAGTTTATTCCAAACTGTGCATATATGTGGATGAGATGCAGACTGGAACATAATGAAGAAGGGTGGAGCTATCTACACAGACGAAAAATTGAACTATACGGAGGGGTGTTGCCAGGATAACAATGCACACAGCTGGAGAATGTGGGTGTGTTCACAGACCTGCTGGAAACCTGCTGCTGACAACAAGTGAGCTCTGGCATGGAATTTAGGAATATTATTAATAATAATTACAAGTAATTACAAATTATAGAATGTATCTTTCAAAGAACAAAGCATCCATTGTGCCCTTGAGGGGAGCTTAAATTAGATCTGGACTCAAAAATCAGCACACACCAATTATTTTCTAACCAAGACTTCACCCTGCCTGTTAAGGACTAATTATGTGCTGATCTTATAAGTCTTTTCTGCTTCCTTTATAATATTATTTAATAATGCTTTTAAGTTGCATAGATTCCAGTATCTAGGAAAAAAGTCAGTAGGTGCACTAAGCTCAGCTTTTATTGCTCTGCTACAGCAAAATGGGCACAAATCACAGCAAACATCAGTTTTCAAAGATGCGGCCATTTTCAAAGTGCAGTTTGTTAGGACGGTATTAACACTTTTGAAAAGTATTGTTGAATCCCTATAAAAATGTACATACTGTGTATTTAATAACCAAAAATGCATGCATTCTACCATTAAAGTGTATTTTAATTAAAAAAAAAAAACATTTTAATATATTGCACTTTAACAGTACCTAGGTTTGGTGACTGCATTGTTTCCTTTTTTTAGGTTTTATCTCTTTATTTTTACCTAGTGATTATGTCATTAATGCACTTCATGTGCTAGGGTGACAAGGCTCACTCACTGTGCTGTATAAGTAAAATATTTGTATACTTTGAAGCAGCCCTCCACACTTAACATGATCATTTTCACACCCAGTGCAGCGTGTAAATTATATTTTTTTACCTAAGGCAAAAACAAGCAGTTAACCCTTGCAATGCAGGGGTAGCCCCACTGCAAGGGTTAATAAATAATATTAGCAAATCCAGTAAATCAAACCCATGATGAATACCGTAAGATCAAATATGTTGAGCTGTTCCATTCGGCTTGTGGTGAATTCATTGCATGACATACCGTTCAGGATTATTAGAGGCACAGATGGGAAAAGAGATATCCTGGGAGCAGGTTGCCCATATCTTCTGACATGGTATGATGCTCTGTGTGACTGCACAGGTTACACATCTTAGTCTTGGACCCACATGTGGCAAACCTTTATACATTCCATATATGTATAACACATGCTGATTGTAAAACTCTTCTCATACACTGCACATAAACCTGCAGCATCTTTGGAATGTTTCTAGCATAACTAGTTAAAATCAAATTATATATTGAAATAATCATTTCTTATTCAGCACTCGCAAGCATATGTCAGTGATTATATTGTCATGCTGTAAGTTCTGATAAAACTCTTCTTTTCTGTGCCAGGAGCAAGTACTGTAGACAAAATCATCATGGTAGCTTTCAAAGGTGTATGGACGCAGTCGTTCTGGAAAGCCGTCTCTGCAGAATTTCTGGGCACTCTTATTTTTGTTCTTCTTGGTCTTGGCTCAACAATCAGCTGGACCTCAGCGGACAGCTCCCAGCCAGCAGATCTAGTACTTATATCTCTGTGCTTCGGATATGGTATTGTAACCATGGTGCATTGCTTTGGGCATATCAGTGGTGCTCATATAAACCCTGCAGTAACAATCGCTCTTGTGTGTACAAGAAAATTAACACTTGCCAAGTCAGTATTTTATATCATTGCACAATGCCTGGGAGCCATCCTTGGGGCAGGACTTCTTTATCTTATTACCCCGAACGATATCAGTGGAAACCTAGGTGTAACAATGGTAAATATTTAATTTTCATCAAAATCACTCTCTGCTCACACATTTATATACAGGCATTGCATACGTTCTATCTGAACCTCTTTATCTAATGATGTTGTGTTAATGTTAACTCATGGAGACTCTTTGGATAGTTATGTTATTATAACTGTCCATTATGATTTCTAAGAAAGATAAACATTCTAAACAAGTTGGTAGGCCTTTCTACTCCAAAGGAAATTCAGACTAGAACCAATTTGGTCAAAAGTGTTTGGGTTGCGGGAGAAAACTAGCTTAAACATAAAGAGATCCTAGAAACTAAACTCAGTTTCCGTAGTGGGCATCAAACCCAGGACTCAGGAGTTAAACTTTAAAAATGCATTCAAGTACCTTAACTTTTAACAAAAATGTATCTTATTTGTGTATCACTCAGCTTTACATCCTCAAATCATCTCTGAATTCATGTTGACATTGACCATCCTTCTGGAAGGTGGCTACTTTTGTTCCCCATAGTCCCCATGGTTCCTCACTCTCCAGAAGGAATGGCAGTATCAGAACCAATTCAGAGATGATTTAAGGATCTACAAACACGCAAGTAAACTACATTTTTGTAAAGTAAGGTACTCAAATGCATTTTTAAGATTTAACGCCTGAGTCATTTAAGGCTACAGTATAAATCGCTTAAAGTGACATTAAACCCTCAGATTTTTTAACATAAACCAATACTGTAATGTGTGCCTTACTGTAATCCATGGTAGTTTCCCTTCCCTTTGCAGCTGAGTGCCTCTTCCTGTAGTGCTGGCTCAGGTTGCAAACCTACACACAGACGCCATGTATCCATTCCAGAGACAAGGCAGTCTGCTGCAAAACAGAAGTTCTGCCCAGCATGAGAAGAGATACAGATTTAAAAGGAAGAGCAGCAAAGAGAAGGGAAACAACCATGGATTACAGTAAGGCACACATTACAGTATTGTTTTATGTTAAAAAATCTGAGGGTTTAATGTCACTTTAACCACCGTGCGGCCCTAGCTACATGTATAATTTTACTACTTTTCATTTAGAGCCTGTTCACCAAGCCATTGTGCTCTGCAAATCTATACTGTAATGTCCTACCAGAAATGTGATTTTTTGCAAATTGTTTCCAAGCCAGCAATTACCCAGGCCAGAGCCGGGTCAGCTCATCTGCGTGCGGGGTATAGCAACTGACATCTTAATTCTATAGGTATACATCACAGGGCAGCTATATGCTAGCCATATGCCTTGACAGTTAAGAAAGAGTGTTAACCATGTAGATATGTCTATACAACTCAAGTAGAGGCAAGTTTTTTTTTTTCTGAAATGTTTCATCAACATTTGGTGTGGCATCTAAGTCATGCTTACTGCAAACTTACAACTACTGCATAACGTTTGCAGCAATAGTGATCACATCTTAACATCATTCTCACTATTTTTTAATTTATCCTTTATGGTAACTTGTTTTACAAAAATGTTTGTAAATTTCCCATGTCACTTTTTCTTTCTCTAGATTAATGAGAGACTTTCCATTGGTCATGGGCTCTTAATAGAACTTATAATTACTTTTCAGTTAGTCTTTACTATTTCTGCAAGCTGTGATCCAAAGAACAAGGACAGACTACCAGCCCTTGCAATTGGAATTTCTGTTGTATTTGGACATTTATTTGCAGTAAGTAGTTCGTTCATGCTGACCTTTTAGCCAGACTTTCTGTTTGTATATAATTGTATTTTTAGATGGTTCAGAAATTGGCTTTTAAACTGTTCAGTTATGGAGAAGATGTTGATAGTTATTTCTGATGATTAGTAGACATGGTTGTAGAGTTTGAGTGGCAGGCTTGTAAATCTACAACATGGTTGCATGTTATGATCAATTGTTGTTTTAAACTTATTTATAAACTGTAGACCAGATGCAGTTTACAGACCAAGGACAGGGGCTACATGCACCATATGCTTAATGTGAGCATTATCAAGCTGCAAATTAGGCATAAAGAAGGAAGTTTAGTTGTATACACACAAGGCTGCCACTATAACTTCATCGTGGGTAGCAAGCATGCAATTTATTGGAACAACTGTACCAGAGATGCGTGAGACACTTCAATCAAATGCAAAACAGCTATAGTAGAAACTTTTACCTGATTCCTGTTTGTCAAAAGTAAGACACCAATCTTAACCACAGGTTACAAGCAGTTCAAATTAGCTACAAGCTTCAATAAGCAAAGGGCACTGTACAAAGTTACTCAAATGAGTGGCTGTGAATCACAATTTATCTATTAATAGTCTAGTTTCAGTAAACTGAATTCTGATTGGTTAGCATGTCATAATGCATTTTTTGCAAAGCAGTTTTTTGCATTTTGCACTTCATCATTGGCTTTTTAATTGTCTTATTATATACTGTATGTATAACATGTAGGGGTATTAGCTGTTGTTTGACTACCCCCCGGTGTGTGCTATGACAAATAATCATCTTTTGCTATTTATTTCAATTTATTTTATAATTTTAAATACGTATTTCTTTCCCAAAATACTGCATTCTTAATATATGACTATTTTTCTTTAAATAATATATTATACTGCCATATTTGTGTTCTAAGTGTGTGCCAGGAATGTAGAAAGTATTTCTTTTTGCTGTTTGTTTTTTAAATTCCTATTGAAAATTATTATTGCATGGAATGTCCAAATTTTGACATACTCCATTTTACATCCTATAGAAGTGAATTATAGGACCTGCCATACACCATGAGGAGAAGTTACTAAGATTGAAGACAATCTAGAGCAGTTGCCCATGGCAACCAGTTAGCTTCTCTCTTTATTTTTCAAAGCTTAACTGAACAAGCTGAAGTGCCTTAGTTTGAGCTTTAAAGTGTATTTTCACTTTCGCAGCCAAATTGTGATAGTGCCTAATTAAAATTTGTTACGTGTTCCCATTCACATAGCATAAGCTAAAATAATAAATAATGTGTCTTGCAGTTTAAATTGTACTTACTTGCGTTAGGGTTTCTTGTCTTAAGGGTTAGAAATTCTACTTGCTTCTCCTTCTTTGTTGGGGGAGGTTGAGAGGGGTTTGTGTCAATCCCGTCAGTACTGTGCTGGCTCATTTCATTATAATTTGTAAAGTAGATTTAAATACTACCTGTCCCAAGAAAGGGTTAAATGATTTAAAGTCTGGCTTCTGCAGTGTATGTTAATGAGAGAACCACAATCCACACATTTCAGTCCTAAGTCTTTCTATAAGGACAAATCACAGTAAAGGTGCTCAGAAAAACTTGGATTCAGCCATTTTTCCTGCTGCAACAGAACATCTAAAAGTTAAGAAAACATTTTATTTAATTACAGTGTGTGACTGGGGACAAATAACAAACAAACATCTTAGATCTAATTGTCACTAATAATGCAGAGTTAATCGAGGATAATTAGAGGGCTTTTTTTTTTATTTGAATGCAAAAGTGGAAATACACTTTAAGATTCACAGCATTTCCAGGATTTTGCCAGAAGGATAGTGACTCACCCTTACCTAGACACGGACTGTAAGGTAAGTATATTTTTCATTTTTTTTGTTTTGTCACAGTGTAGTGTTATAGGGGGTTGTAAATACAGATGGCCACAATACACAATTGAAAAGAATAAAAGGTACTTAACTTTAGTTACATGTGCTGGGTTACAGATATAGCAGTCTCAACATTGTTTCAGTTTAATCCTCAGCATGGATCACGTGGCCTACAACCATCTTGTCCTGCAGGCCACTGAGTTTCAATGGCCATGATGGTGTCACTTCCATCTCAGAGCCCCCAAGAATCAGCACAATAATTAAACTCAGGACTTAAACCTTAAAAAGGCATTCAAGTAACGTAACTATTAACAAAAATTTATCTCATTTGTGTTTCACTCAGCTGTGTTTCAAATCATCTCTAAATTTGTCTTGACACCATTCTTCCTTCTGGAGGGTCGCAACTTATTTTGTGAAGTAGCCACTGCTCCAACTCACAACACACACAGGGACCATGGCAAACAAAAGTAGCCCCCCTCCAGAAGGAAGGGAAGACAGTGTCAGCACCAATTCAGAGGTGATTTGAGGATCTACAGCTGAGTGATACAGAAATAAGATACATTTTTGTTATTAGTTAAGGTACTTGAATGATTTTTAAGGTTTAGCTCCTGAGTTTAGTGTCACTTTAATTGTGTGAATGTTATTTCTAGTTGTATTGCAGTCTAATGCAAGTTTATAGTTTGAAAATGATTTAGCATTACATGTAGGTGTGCTTTTTCTTACAATGGCAATTTTAATTTTGGGGAAGCTTGATGTAATAAGCCGGCCTATCATTCTAGAGCAAGGTCCTCTTTAAAGTGCATTTGTCACATAATTTAAAAACACGATCAATAAACTGATTTTGTGTTGTCAACCAATATTTACCCTTTGAATTTACAATCAACTAGTTTGTGTCAGCAGAAACTAATTACATGAAACGTAAAGGTATTTAGTGATTTCTCCTCCATGATATCATATTGACAGCTCCATTATGAGTCATGCTATATTCTCAGGAAAACTGGGTCAACACACAAACACTACCTCTACTGTCTCTAGTGTTACTTTGATATGTTGACCTACAATGATTTATTGTAGCAAATATCTCCCTTTTCCAATATTGATTTTAGATAAACTACACTGGAGCAAGCATGAATCCGGCAAGATCTCTTGGCCCAGCTGTCATTATGTGGAAATGGGACAACCACTGGGTAAAATTTTAATTTTAAAGTGTCTATGCTTTCAGGTCCTGTCAAGAGTCCATAAATGGCCACATTACTTTTGAGTGGGTCCAATTCCTGAACCCTGGTCAGATTTTATTGTTTCTGTGTTCTCATTTGAGAGATTTTTGTATCCATTCTTATCCTGGAGACACAACAGGAAGTGAGAGGAAATCTTCTTAAATCGTATGTGGCTCATGCAGGTTAGAAAAAGAGTATCATCCATACAAGCATATGCATCCATGGTTAGTATGTTCAGATCTGAGCAGGAAGACGTGCAGCGTAGAGGATACTGGCAAGATCATCAAATATTTACTCTGCAGTGACATTTCTGTATATTTTTAAAGCAGCAAAATATTAAATAGTATTTAAAGAGGAATGCACATTGACAGTTTTATTTATTTATTTTTTTTGTACTGTAAAAAGTCCAACTTTGACAGCCTTATCAAAACAATAGACTCCTAAACTGCTCAAAGTGCTAACTCTTGCTTACCGAGTGTAAGTGCTGCGGTGCAGAAGATTACAGGAGGCTGATACTACATTGAATTTAGGTACTTGTGCTAGTTCTATGTACTATTGAAAATAATCATTACATGACTTGGTAAGGATGACATTCCCTGAGCTTTAAACACATGTCAGTAAAGTCAGCTTATAATTTTCTAAAGAGAAGCTAAGGATAATATAAAAAATAATCAACTTATTAAAAATTGATGGGAATCACCTTAGCATTACTATTATTATCATTGTTAATACCTATTGTTTAAATGTGCTGACATTTATGATATGATATGTCAAAAATACATTAGGATAGCATGTTTACTTTTCATACTTGGATATTCAAGGGCTTTGTTTTAAATTAAGCCCATCATAAAAGCAATACAGTGGCTTTTGTTGTGGACCGCCTTCTAAAAATACTTTCTCCCTTGCTGTTCTGCTGACCCAGTGGCGTCACTGGGGGGGGTGGGGTGTGTGGCCCGCACCCGGGTGACACCATCGGCGGGATGACACCAGAATGAGTAATTTTGGTGTCACCCCCTCTGAAAAGTCGGGCACTCGGTCATGGACCAAGAACCTGACAGTTGCAGGCGTCCATCACCAAGATGGTCGTCGAAAGGTATCACCGAGATGGCCGCACATGTGCAATGATGTCACGGCGGGGTGTCACCCGGTACCTGCTCCGGGTGACACCTGGCCTCGGGACACCCCAGACTGACACATAGCTTTCATAGTCACTGCCCTGGAAAATAGAGAATATGTCTCCAGCAAATCTTGGATATTATAGCAACGTCCAGAGGTTTTTTTAAAAATAACACAAATATGCAACAGTTTGGAGCCTTGCAAAGTCCCTTTATCAGACATCTCACAAGTCGCATGGAGGAGACCTGCAAGGATGAAACATGTTGCATATTTATGATATGATCCTTTCAATGCTTAAATAGCATAACTTTGCTATAGGATCCAAGGCGTGCTGGTGAAATTTTCTCTATGTTTCATGCAATGCCATTTGACAGTGGCTATAACACCCTGCCCATGGTCATTTGCAGGGGGAATATCTCATCTGCATACCAGCCTGGAACAGATACAGGATCAGGAAAGTCAGGGTAACGTTGGACGTCCATTTAGTTGTTCCCGGTCAGTGACTCAAAGTAATGAAGCCAGAGAGCCAGCATGCAAGCTAGGCAACCAGCATTTTCAGAAGGGGGTACTAGCAATGGAAGCCTCCATATTCATTACAGGTTTCCATTAAAAAAAAAAAAAAAATTTTTGTTTATTTTATAGATATATTGTATTGTACCTATTATTGGAGCGATCTGTGCAGGAGCAGCTTATAATTATATTTACTGCCCCGATGCTGATTTCAAACAACATTTAAAAGAAGCGCTAAAAAAAGCTAAACAAAAAACAAACGGAAAATACATTGAAGTGGGTGACAATCGAAGCCAGGTTGATACAGATGACCTGATCCTTAAATCTGGGACTATACATGTCATTGATATTGAACAGGGGGAAGGAAAGAAAGGAAAAGACTCAGCAAGTGAAATATTATCTACTGTATAACGTGCAATAGGCACAATAATGGTTTAAAAAATGTACCAACAGAAAAAGCCATAAAAGTTATTTTTATACAAGTGCGTATTTGTGGGTCAGCATCAAAAAACAGCCACATGCCTATATTCATAATTACAAAGAAGAATGCCATTGCCAGAGGCTCTGAAAACTTCCATCTTTACTTACTAGTCTCAGTGGTTTGACCAAAAATATTTGTGGTGTACAAGAGTTTGATGACACTGTATTAAACCTAACAATAAAAAGAGCTGTCAACAGTCTTTGATGACAGGCTCCTCTCCCCTTTGACGTGCATGTGACATCTCAAATATTTAATTTTGAGATGGAAAACTTTCAGTAATTTTACCCTTTTTTAAATTGTGGATAGTTTATTAAAGAAGCACTTAATGGATTTTAGACACCATTACTGTGTCAAGATGCTGACCATTGTATAAGATAGCAATGTGATATGAAAGTGTATCAGGCATGAGAAACAAAGTACTGTAAATGGACAGGTTAGATTACAGGGAACTAAGCAAGCCAACAGTAAAGAAATTGTTTGAAAAGCATTTAAAAAAAACACAAAAGCAATGTTGTAGATAGGAATTAATTTATCTCTCCAGCCAAACATGAAAATAACCATTTGCCTTCTACATAACAATCAATAAACTTTAGTTTAATGCAAAAGCTTTAATTCAGTTGCCATTACTTTTCATTTCCCTGTTGACCCTCCCTGTTCGCATATCAGACAAAACTTCTGGTTTGGGGCTATCTTCTTTATCTGGCCCACATTGAATTAGAGTTAGCCTTGGCATTGTTAGCCCTTGCATGTTCTCCATATTATTAGTTATTCTTACCACAGCTCATTGGGCGCTTTCAATGACGCACAAGAGCTCTCAAGAGGAAGTTCCAAGAGTGCCAGCTCTGGACCAGCCCCCACAGCTTCTCCTAGCCTCATTTTCTACAATTACCTCAGCACTACTTAAGGAGCATAGAATAGATGGGTTGTGGCCACATGACTGCAAATAAAGAATTAAAAAAAAGGTTATTTAGCAATTTTGAATACATTTATTTCAGGGGCTGAAATAGCAATGTTCTGCACCAGGTACCACAATTTGCAGGATTCCCCAGTGCGACATGCAGAGTGGCAGCGGTGTGCCGGTTACTGGAACGCGCCCTATGTTCTAGCACCCAGCACTGAAAGAAGTTTCAGTCCAGCATACATTCAGATGCTGGCAGAGGGAGGTGGGTGCAGGCAATTATTTGAGATGCTGCAATCTCCCTCTGATTCCTGGAAGAGATTAGATAGAGCTGAGAAGCATAGGAAATAAATACTTCTTTCCCATGCTCCTCAGCCCCATCGAGTGGCTATAATGCAGTATTTTGCTGATATTACATTCGGCCTGGAAAGGAATAACATTGGTTTTGCCTCCATTCGCACAGAACAATATGTACATGCAGTTATGCAGGACGAATGGCTCTGTGCATTTTTTACAAATAAAATGTCCTGGTTACAGTGATTTGAAGTAGACATTTCCATTCTTTATAGTTTTAACATAGTGGTACTTTCATAGACTGCTACTTCTGCTCTTTTCATATGCACTAATTTTCCTAAAATATGCATGCATGCTAACACTGATGTGACGGACCTAGGGCTGCAGATTCATTGCCCCGGAGAACTTTGTGTGCTGTGGGTATTTTACAGTTTACTATTTTATCTGGGGAGAGCCGGTCACTATGTGACTTGATGGGAACCATTGTTCTAAAGGCAGCAGGTTGGCGGGAGGGGCCATTGTTAGAGTGATGGGATTAAGCTCCTCTCTAAGTAAGACAATACAATGTGGCACCTAGTTGTCTGGGGGAGGAAACTCTTCCATGTAACAATGAACTCTTATCTGATCCTGTCAGATATAAATTCTGTGTGCTCTGCTTCAATAAAGGAGATCTTGTTTCACTCCAAAGTTAGTCTTGTCTGATTCTTGGAGTAAGCCTTCCATGCTATAGTCACTGCTTCTGGTTCCAGCACTCAGGGAATAGGCTGAAGACGGAGATATGCAGTCGGGGTATCAGGGAGTCCGTCGCAACTGATATGTAGATTTTTTGACTGTGAAGGGCTGTAGTGTCTTTAATGTGTGAGCTATAAGTGACAGCCTGCCTTAACCATATTTATACTGTGTTATAGGCAAAAACTGAATAGTTCTTATGTGGTGTCAGTTTCTGTAAAGACAGAGGAAATTGTTACTTTAACACATTACAGTACAACAGAATCCAACACCCCAGTGCTGCAAAAGGGGAATTGTACCTTGTGTGGGCATAGGTTGCACATGCAAACCTTGCACTGACATTTCTTTATACAGTTTAGTTTAGAAAATGCAATAGGGGCCATTGAAGATATAGAAAAACCTAAAGGAAGATATATCTATTTATCTATCTATCTATCTATCTATCTATCTATCTATCCAGTAGATATATTTATAATTTTAGCAAGCACGGGTTTGTCTGGATTCTCTTTGGGATCCAGGATCTGGGAGATTTCAAAGAGAGTTGGGAGAGATGAGATCTCTGGCCCTGGGTCCATGTTTTGGTAGTGACCAGCACTTGAACAGATGGTGTTCTGGAGTCAGGAAGACTTTCCCTGAAGTCAGAGTGGAATCAGCAGAGCTCCTGCAGGGAAATAGGAACAGACGATGTACAGAAGTCAGGAGGACTCCCCAAAAGTCAAAGTGGAGTCAGGTGGTGTGTGTGCTGGAGGCACACGGTGACCCATACAATCCATCCAGGACAATGCCTGGTGTAAATTCTCACCTAAATCTGCAATCATGTAATGCAATGGGTCCTGAGTCAGACAAAGACGGTCCTTCTTTGGGTGTTCAGGTCAATGCCTGGGAGACATTGACACAAATAATTGGCTGTCTAGTGACAGGGCGTTCTCAGGCTCCCAAATTGAGGCAGCAGTTTAGGAGCCTGAGACTGACAGAACCACTGGTCACCATAAATGGAAGAGATATCACCTTGAACATGGACTTTGGCGAGTAAAAGACACATTTGGAAAGGGTTGTTAGAAAGAAGGGTAACATTTACCCAGAGATGGGTTTTAAATATCATCAATGCTAAACATTTTAAATAATGATAAATACAAAAAAAATGCTTTAAGTATAACAGCAAATCTAAAAATTGGTCCCAGAATCTCAGCAATTGTTCCATTAGTTTATGTGAACATAATGACATTTAGAAAATATGAAATATAAGGAACGTGAAAACAATTAATGCCTTTTTTGAGAAATGCCTCAAGGTTATAACAAAGTAATAGCAGATCAGAAACTGTATGTAATCAATTAGACAACACAGTTTGTTTATTGCTTTAAAGGGGAACATTTGTTGACAGTATGCATGAAAACAAGCCTAGGGGACAGAAATTAAGTGTGTAAGTCATCTAAAGCGATGATTGTCTAACAATCAGAACCAAATGAGTTTCCTCAGAACAAACTAAGAATAATGATGCCATTGAACATGCAATATCAGTACAAGTGCCATAAACTGGTAGAAACATTGCATTTCTTAGGCACATTATAGAACAAAGGTGTACTGTATGTCCCAAACATACAGCAACCAATAATATACACAGCATTTTGTCTGGGCCATAAAGAACCATTTGAAATTCACACAGTGTATGGCTACCTTTTACACATGATTTTTTCATCAAGTGGTTATAGTCTTGCTTTCACTGGACGACAGGATTTGGCCAGTAGTTCAGTGAGGATGTCTCTATTCTAACTGATGTAAAACTGTCTTGCTGCTGGCCTATTTCTATCAAACTATCCTTAGAAATTAAGTCTCTGCAGATGATACAGCTGTGAAGAACTGGCGAGCAGCAGGAGTTTTTTTAATGAGGGAGAAACTTTATTAGAGACAAAGAACAAAGGCTTGGGCATTACTACAAGAATTAAGAGACTGCAGAGTTTACAGCAGTATAAAATTGGTCAGTAGCAAGGCAGTTTTAATCAGGCATAATAGGCCCAACTGGTACTTGCCCAACCTTTATTTTATCTATAGAAAAAGGATTGCAGTGAATGTGAGTTATATGATGGGAGATGGTTTAGGTGCACAATATTCTTGTACTGAGTTTATTTTTCATTCAAATGACACAGAAGGGCGCTGTAAACAAAATGCACAACCAAGAACAGATGGTCAATCATGTCCCACATGTTATGGCATTAAAAGGTTTAAACAAGCCTATGGCTGCAATAGCAATCATGAGTTTATTTAAAAATTTGTATGGCTGGCTCTTGGCTGTAATATAGAAATGATCTAGGTGCTCTACAGTCACTTAATCACTTTTACAGAGTGGTGATGTGCCCTCACTCACCTGCTGTGTCAGTGAAAGGGTTAAGCACATCAAGCTTAAAAAAAGACCCTATCAACATAAAATTAAAAAGAATGAAAAAGAAATGAAGACCCAAACACAACACCCCTAAAAAAAACGGGAGCCTTAAAAAACAACAACAACAAAAAAAACGACTGTTTTAAAGGGAAGCCTTGCAGCAAAAAAACGAGAAAAAAAAACAGTTTCATTTAAAAAAAGGCCCTAAGGATTAACGGCAAACCTGAACATTTGACCATAAGTTCAACTCGAATCCATGCTGTTTGCAGTTTGCGTAGTTGGCAAGCAAAATGGCCGGATTTTGCCAGTTTGCCTGTCCGAACCTCCAGCTGCTACATCCAGAAGTCATTCATTTAGGGGAGGTCTCACTGCCGCTAAATAAATAATTTAATTTGGCTTTGTTGATTTTAATAAAGATACTAATTATACATATTTTTTTTTATTATTTGGTGCTAGCAGTGTGCTAATTTCTTACCATCCTTTCGTTTTTTGGGCTTTATATTAAATGTCTTTTACTCTGCAATGCTATTTAGTACTTTTCAAGCTAATGTGTCTTGTAAGGACTGACAGCTTTGTTAAAACCCATAAAATTACTTTATTGCAACAGTCCACATCATTTTGCTGTATTTTT